TGTCATTTACCTTTTAAGATTAGCTGTCCAATTAAGATTTGGGGGTGGGGGGCTGATTTTCTCCTAGAGTTTTTCGGCAAAAGAAGCAGGTAACCTGAATATATCAAGGAACCCAATCATTTTACTTTGCTGCCTTAATTTGAAGATCCAAAACCCTATCACGATTCTTTTAAACGGTTAATGGTTTGGAATTGTGTTCGCCCATGCAAGATTTAGTTTAATGCTTTGGAGCTTTTTGTTCTTTATGTCCTTGTGCTAATTAGGATATATACATGTCATCAATCATAGTTCCAAGGTTTCTGACTAGGGGGTGTTTTGCAATTTGTTTTCTCGTTTTTTAAACATTTATTCAACGTCCAATGCATATGAAGCAAGTGAAAATACCATGGTTGGGTCAGGCCACCTCAAAGTACAGGGGGGGGGGGGGCGGGTACACAAAAGGTTTTTTCCCCCCAAAAGCTATATATTTAAATTTTAAAACAACTTCATTACCTTCAAAATACTCTTCATTACACTTAATACACTTGTCAAATCTGCAATTCTATTCTTGGAAACACTTTCCAAACTCATCTGTTTGGGTAATTAACAACACCTCTTTTTTTCATTCACCTCTTCTAAGTCATCAGGTAATTGTCCATGTCCCTCTTCATTCGCAAAAAGAGTTGCACAGAGCAGGGTCAGGTGAGTAAAGTGCGTGGGGCAAGAAAGGCATGCTGTTTTTGCTGAAAACTGGCACACTTGAGATGGCTATGTGAGCCAAGCACAATGTGTTGGCAAAACCAGTCCGCTAGCCTGCCACAAATCAGGCCTTTTTAGTCATAAACTGTTACACAATCTTTTCAGAACCTCTAAGTTGAAAGCTTCATTAACAGTCTGACTTGGTGGAATGAACTCCAAGTGTACAACGAGATGACATTTTTGTCCATTCAGGAAGTTGATGAACGTCCAGAACGAGGTTTGTCATCAGTCAACATTTCACCTATTTTTAAACAAATAACGCATACACTTGAGTTTTTCCCATCGTGCTGTCCTTATAAGCTGTGTTCAACATCACAATATTGTCTGTGGCATTTCTCCCAAGTAGGAAACAAAATCTCCCAGTGGCACACTGTTCTCTTAAATTAGCCATCACAAAAAAAATAAGGTTGAGCAAAACTGCGTTTATGAAAAAATTCACTGTGACCAGAAAGAACCTTCCAAGGCACCTCCACTGGGTGCACTCAGAGTGACTTGCTCCATGCTTCCCTTGCAGGGAAAAGTACTTACTGTGAAAGCTCTGCCTTGGTACCCCCTCATATATACAGGTCCTCAAAATACACCTTTGCTCCTCAATAGTTTCAAGAGGTCTTGTGCAGTGATTTTACCTAGTGCAATGTTGGGATTTGGGTTTCTTGAGTTCTAGTCCATACTGAAGGGTCATCAGCAAGTACTTCAAGCCCTCACTCTATAAAACTCACTGGGAGTCAATGCAAGGTGGTGTCATATATCTTAATTCATCAAAACAAACACTGGGATTATTTGTGATTAGATTTACCCATATTCAACCAATGCATATATGGCATAGTTACTGTTCTGATGCTGGGGATATTAAAGTGACCCAAATGACTAGTGGGTGAAAGGAACAATAAATATATGTCTAGGTAACTCTAAAACTAGGAAGGTGCCAGAAAGAATGAATGTTTACTATTTTATATAAGGTCGTCAGGGCTGAACTTTTCAAGGATTGGCCTTGAATGATGGAAGCCAGTGTGACTGGATAGAAGTCAGGGATGGTACGCATGATACAAGATCAAACCTAAGGGAGTGAAGTTACCTAGGGTCATGTAGGCTATAGCTAGCACTTAAATTCTTGTGCTGATTATTCACTTTTTGTGGTTGTTCATGAATTTTTAAGATCCCAGTCGCTACTCATCAAAGTCGAATGTTGAACCACATCAGTCTCCACAACTCAGAAATCACAGGAAGTAGGTAGCTCTGGCTGTCACAACCAACTGCTCTGAAAAGGATTGTACTAGAAGATATTGGGCAGAGTGGGAAGATGTCCAACAGAACTCAAGGCCATAAAAAAGATCAGGCTTATTAGTCAGAGACTGGTCAGATGCCAAGACCATACTGAGTCCTTAGTCACCCTTCAATTCTAGAACTGAGTTCATCCCCATGTTGGAATAGCCAGCTATTTCAGATCAAAGGGAAATGTTCACCATGGATAGAAGATTAGGAAAGAAGGAGGAGTGGAAATAGGAAACATGGAGAAAGTGGGATATTTGATGGTACATTGAGGGGATTGAAATGGATGAGTTGAATCAGAGACTATACCAATTGTTGGATGTAAAACTGAAGATCTCTGTAACTCTTCACCTAAGTCATAATAAAGAGTTTTAAAATAAAGGTGATGGGAAATCATATTGTTTTGAGCAGAAGGATTACAGGCCCTCACGTAAAGTTTAAATAGGCCATTCTTGCTGTGTGGAGCATGGACCGGGTTAAGACAACAAACGGAGATGAGTTCGAAGGCCACTGCCATAGGCTAACCCTGTTTTAGCCTCTCCTACTTGGTTTCTGACAAGAGGCAAATCTACAATAAAGGTGTTATTTCATTTTTCTAGAAGGACACTTTCTTCCAAGAAGTGCTTTCAATGGGCATAGGTGAAAAGCTACTATATGCATAAATTCCCTGGAATTTTTG